CATAATAGCAAGACTTTACATTTAGACTAGAAATGATATAGAAATGTAGGTTGTTTCTAATTTGATTACAATATTTCATAGACACACACACATACATACATACATAAACTAAAAATCACATGATCATCTGTTTTCTTTGAAGAAACCTTTGTCTGTTGAACTCTCTTTTATGGTTACAGTCAAAGAGTTACTTGTTACGTCAGTAACAATAATTTTCTCCATATTCTTCAAACAAGGCAACCAGGACTGATCGGTTTCATCTACAAAACTCAGAGACAGTTGCTCTCTGGCTTGATCGGTGGATCGAAATAGATGGTTTTTGGGAGGATGTTTCATCTTGGATTGGTTTATGGCACCACTTGAGCTGTCCTTCCGTCGATGTCCCAAAACACCAAGCCCAGATTTTAAGATGGTGCCACCATGTGTGAACTTGACGTCACTTGACCTGCTTCCCATTTGCTTCTGAACGTGGCTGGATTCTGCTTGAATCTTTTGGGTTAAATGAATGACATCACAGCTCGAGGTCTCTCCTGATCTCTCGGTTTTGGAAGGTCGATAAGATAACGGTTCATCTGCCTTTCTTTTAACACCTTCAGCGGATGAACCTCCTGGACGCAACTTTGGCTTTGGTCCTCGCTTTTTTGGTGAGCTGGCAAAATCCAGCGGCCGTTGTACCGGTGTCCCATGAGTCAGTGGGTCTCTCTCAAGGTCCGGTGGACGCACACGAACACTTTCGCCTCTGTTGATGGTGCTCGGTGGGAAAATCGTTGGCACGACTGTCCGCAGTCCCTCACGTGCTCTGGGCGTCACAACCGGTTCGGCTACTGGGAATGACACGTGTAAGTCTCGAGACATTTCCCGTCTGAACTCATAGTTTTTGCCTTTTGCTTTAGCTTTTGCCTATGAAAAAAAAAGTCAAATATAATTAATCAATTTAAGCACATGATACCATGGTTCCAATGCATTAAAGTGCAACAGAATTAAATAATAATAATAATAATAAATGCATTAAAAAGAAAGCCAAGAAAAAACACATAGCAAAGAAAAATTAAACATGCAAGTATGTATAGAAATATTTTTTTCACCTTCATTAAAAATGTTTCTGGTTTAGGTCCCCTCTTTTTTGGCCCATACATCTCCCTCTCACGCTCTCTGCAATAAAAAAATAAGATGAAGAAAAGCTATTTTTAAACTTCCAAAATATTTAATTTCTCTACCGGAATTACAGAAATAACGAAGAAACGTTTACCTTTCTTCAAATGCAGCGAAAAGACGCTCATCCAGAATATTCTCCTCTGGTTCCCAGGTGCTGTATCTGCACCAATAATTGCATGTTCAATTATTCGCAAATCCTAACGCCCAACATCATTTCAAAGTACAGTTTTCTTTGTACACATTTATTACTAATGCGTGCATTTTTATAACTTATTTGAAGAGATGTTGTATGCGCATGTATAATATCTATTGACACATGTATAAACGGATACATATTCTGTGTATTAGTGTCTCTTTTTTTCCCAGTATAAACCGTATTAATCAGCTGATAATGCTGTTTGAACGTTTTATCTTGACTGTCTCCCGTCACTGGCCTTGTCAGCTAACGTTCACATGAGCCCCGTTACACAGTCCCCGCTTCAGCCGTGCTAACACTCAGCGAGCTCGGGGAGCCCCACACCGCTCCTTCCGTTGCAACAACTGCCGTTAACGTGTCATTACCACTCACTTTTGAGACCAGCCTTTCCATTTGACCAGATACTCCATCCGTCCCTGCGGGTAAAAGCACAGTGAGACTCAAATTAGCAAGCTAACGCTGCTAGGCTAACCTATCGCGTATAAAATGTCATTTGAGCGAGCATAAACAAATAACCAGACGCCTCTGTAACAGCGCCGAAGCCCCGACGAGCAGGCTGGGTAAGCACTTACTCTCCTTATGCGCCGTTTAATGATGGATTCGGCGGCGAAGACGCGCTCCCCGACGGCTGAGAGCTCCATGTTTACTTCAATCTCGCAGCTATTTTTTCCCTCAGCTCTCTGCCTCAATAATGCTGGATAGCCCATAATACTCTATCCGAAGAGACGTCATCACGTTCTAAACTGTTGCCATGGCACCGCAGGACGGCGGTGGCGTGTGAGTGGAGCTGCGCTCGAGGAGGAGGAGTCAAACGGCGCCAAACCAGAATGTCATTTATGACCGCTGTTTTGGAAACAAATATGTTTATTTCGTATACTAGTGAGTAACTGCGGTCAGGACTTTTTGATAAGTCCCCTATTAGTCGCATATTTACGGAAATTTTAACGGCACTCTTCAGTGCGTCTAGATACGGCATGTTTCTTTTGCTGGCGATGCGTTGCGAGTAGGCTAGATATTCTGTGTTAAATATTTGTTTTGTTGCTTGTTATTTGTTTGTTTGCTTGTTTATATTTAATAGGACTGAAATCCAGACGCCCAAGCGCATTCTTCATTTTAAACGCAGTGGAGACCAGCACGAAACGCAAATATGTGCCTCCATATTCCCCTTCAAGTCATGTCATCCCTGTCAAATTAAAGTGAAAAAATAAAAATAAAAAAAACCTTTTACATTAAATACAAATAACGAAAAAAAAAAAAACAGAATAAAATACATAAATACATAACAATTGTAGGGCTGGTCATAAATCCACTTTTATAAATCCACATTATACATAGACTAATAAATCCACAGTTACAGGCCTATAGGCTACGCGTATCGATATTTCACCCGCCCGCTCCGAAATCTCCCTGTTTAGGCAAGAAACTAGTTAGGCTAGGTCAAGTGTCGATATATTCGGGTTACTGCCTGGTCATTTTGCAATAGCCTAAACCAAAAGACACTTACAGCTTTCTTAAACGATTTTAAGATTTTAAAGATTATTTAAAAATCAGTAGCCATATCCGAAATTAGCTTGGGCCTATAGCCTATAATATATAGCCTAGCCTATATATCGTTTTTCTTTCTTTCTTTCTTTCTTTCTTTCTTTCTTTCTTTCTCAAAAAATACAAATAATGAGAATTATTTTAAAACAAAAACCCGAGTAGCCTAGTTCGGACAAAAAACACATTTTCTTGTGTAGTTTTTTCTTTTTAGGCTAAGTCGTTTAAAAATATGACTGTCAAGTCATATTAAAAAAAATATCAATATGTTTTTTTTTCTGTATAAAAATATAGGCTATATGAAAATACATGTGGAATTTTAATACTAGATTGTCCTCGACTTTAAAATGGATATGATCTGCGATCTGATACACAGCAACTAATCTTTTATTTGATTTGAAAGATTAATTCGATTTTTGTCCGAATCATTCGATGCAACGGATAAGAACAAACTAAGGAAATTATATCTCGCTTTCAGTTTCCGCCATGTTTTGGTTTATTGGTTTATTTGTTCCGATTCGATGGATTTAAATTAGGCTAATCGGAAAAAAATCCTTTTCACATATATTATTATTACTATTATTATTATTACTATTATTATAATAATTATTATTATTAGCCCATTATTATTATTATTATTACGACAGTCACAACATACATTTTCACCATTATTACTAGGCTACCAAGAAAAAAAACTAATTCTCAAGCTCGTTTTCTATCGAAAAAAAAATTCTATTATTTGTTATAATGACAAGAGTGACAAGAAATCTCCGAAATTCAGGCAAAAAAAAAAAGCGAAAAATAAATGATAAATAAAATTTTTGCCTTCTGTACTATCCAAATAATCCAACATTATTTTCAACAGTGATAGAAATATTCAGATTCATAAAACAGTCGAACTGAAGTCAAAACAAAATTCCATCGTATAAACACGACAAATAGCCTAAACAACAAAACGGAACAACTGAACGTTAAGTATGCCTACTTGCGTTGTGGTTAATTACAGATCTTAAATAATATAGCCTAGGTTATTAGTTAGTTATTAGTCCCGATTTTTTTCATCTAGTTAGCATACAATAGTAGCCTATTTTATGGGTATTTTTATATTCTATTAAATTAAATAAAGAGAGAGGTTAGGAGGAAAATTATTTTCATTTCTTTATTCAAGTGATTTTATTATAGTTACCTTGAGCAGATTTTATTTTTCCACATATCATGTTTATATGGAAACAGGTCACAAATAGCCTCTAATCTAATGTAATCTAATGTAATCTAATGTAATATAATATAATATAATATAATATAATATAAAACAAAGAACCTCCTCTCTCACGTATCTAATGCATTGTTATATCTTATTGGAACATAATTTGGGCAAGAATTATAATAACAACACATCTCAGAATGGGATCCATGGTTACCACTTTACCTAATATCAATTAAATAAAGAGGGAGGTTAGGAGGAAAATTATTAATATAATATACATTATATTATATATAATATAATATAATATAATATAAAGCAATGAACCTCCTCTCTCATGTATCTAATGCATTGTTATATCTTATTGGAACATAATTTGGGCAAGAATTATAATAACAACACATCTCAGAATGGGATCCATGGTTACCACTTTACCTAATATCACATTTAAATAATAAGAAAGTATGTTAAATTCAAGATCGTCTTGACATAGATGCAGATTAAGCTGGGACCCAGAAAGATGACCTATGTGTTTTAGATCACTCATCTTTTAATGCAACTACTCTATAGTAAAACATTACGTTTCCATTTATTTTATATAGGAGCCTGATCAGGGAGGCAGCATGATGAGGGGGGGCTTTCTGGTCAATATAAAGCACAGACATCGAAGCGTTTTATGAACATGGTACTGCACCTATAGGAGGCAGCATTGCTAAATTTCACTAATTTATAAGAGCCTCTACTATATAAGCAAACTATAAACTGGTAAAATATTTTTCTGCTGAAGTCTCTGGATGCAGTTAATCAGGCAAAATGGAAAAAAAATGAATGACACATTATAAAACAAAACATTCATGTTTATTATTCAAGTTTAATATTTATTTGAGAAGCATTTTCAAACTGACAATTCAAAGTTTACTATGCATAAAACATAATGCATATAAATGGCCTTAACCTTAATGGCATTATTGTGTAATTTGTACATTACATACTGTACATCTCATTGCGTACCTATAGTACATTGCATTGACTGTAAATTGATTCCAATTTATAGCATTACACTGTAAGCATCAATCTTACATTTACTTTCTGGGCATATATATAACAGTTTGCATGTTCTGATGATCTCTGACCACAGTCATACTGCTGTTACAGAATTATTCTGCAAGATTAAACAGCCTTTATTGAGTTATTTTAAACTGAATTTATTAACAAGAGATCCAGGAGATGATAAAGTGCAAATTAACTTCTTACAGAGAGGGAACACCAAACAATCCAGTTGTTCATCTAGCATTGCACAGGAAGACCTCACAGGCCAACAGCATCTGGAAATCCAGTCAAGTAAAATAATTCAGCAAAACAAAATCTTGAAATTAAAAAAAAACTTTTTAAAGGTATATTCATATACATGTATGACGACACCTTTCCAAGCGACTCCAAATTTATAGATCTCAATTATATGTACATCTAAAATTCTGAAATCCCCAAAATTGGAAGAAAAATTCAACATGTGGTCCATGATGTAGATGAACAGTGAAAGGTGTGAGTATAAGTGCATTAAACTTAAACTTCATCTTCAATGAGTTCTTCAATTCAACCAGTGTGCTTTCTCCAATAGGCCGCTGTGTTTCCTCAGGTAGCATTAAAATTCAAAAGCTTTATAAACTATATTACACGCTATACAATTATGGGGTTTTAAATTCAATTTCCACAGCAGCAAAACGTCAACCATCTCAATTGTATGCATTAGAAAACATTCAGCAGGCATCTAAACAAATAAACAAACCATATATAGAGTTTGTTTGCTTAAACGTCTCCATATGTTATCAGGATTGGTTATGATCAGTGCAGTCAACTTTGAGCTGGTTCAAATGAACAAATGACAGTATGTATGTATTGTAGTCTTTATCCTTGAACGTATTCCTTAAAGGTCACGGTTAAGCAGTTCGTAGTGATATCGGTGATGATAACGTTACCCACAAATGGCTTAACATGGCTGTTTGTTTTCTCCACTGGCGCTGAGCTTCCTGAAACCTTCTCCGCTGTGGGAAACTGCTTAAGAGTTTTGGTTGGACCACAGCTTAAATCAATAGGCTCTTCAGGAATGGTGTCGCTAAAGTCATAACTGTAGGCTCTGTCGGCGAGACTGCCTCTGTAATGCAGGTTTATAGGTTCTCTCTGAGGAGAAGAAAGCACTGTGTTTGGTGCACTGATGCTCCTGGAGCTGAAGAACTGCTTACAGGTTCTCACATCCTCATTGGGTTCTGAGAGGTTCCTCTTACGGTGATTGAGTCCGGTGTCCGTGTGGGCTGGGGCAGCTTTCTCCGAGTTTGGTTGGTCGCATAAATCTATCACTATTTGTTCAGTCTCTGTAGGCGTATCTTTTGGAAGTTCAGCCTTTTTGATGGAGTTCTTGTGAATGCACTCACTAGACGAAGAAAATGTGCTGGTGTTCTCAGCAGAGCCATTCTCGCGGCCTGCTGAAGTTTCACCATCAGACGGATTGTCCGTATTATTCAGTGTAGATTCCTCATTGTGCTGCGCTTCCACTTGGGAAACATCCTTGTTTTTTACTTTAGATGAATGCACACCTTTGTCCATGTATTTGCTCATTACAATGACAATTCGTCCGTTTTTGTTTTTGTTCTTGATTATTTTCATCTTGCTGCCGATGCCGTTAGGAAGTGCAAACTCTTTGGCGCTTGTCTTGAGTGCCCGCTCTGCTTTGTTAGCATTATCCGGCAGGCTCTTGAGCTCGATGGACAGATCTTTCACTTTACTCAGGCAGCCGGTGTCTTTGTTCCGAATCCACTTCTGTTGCAAGGCTGGAGGGAGGTTCCACCCTTTGTTGGAAGGGTCTTGAACCTTGACCTCTTTGGGTCCCGTGAGTGGCGTGTCGTACATCTTGGGGTCCGGCTGGTAGTGATGATGTTTCTTGCTGTTCAGCTGGTAGAAGTGCTTCTTTTTCCCGCTCACATGTTGTTCGACGGAGATCTCCTTGCAGCTGGGCTGGTACTGGTGGTGTTTTTTGCTGTTGAGCTGGTAGTGCTGCGGCCATGAGCGGTGGATCTGGAGGGGCTCGGCTTTGGGCTGGTTCTCCTCATCCAATGATGTGTCCTCAAGACCACCCAGGATGCTTGATCTACGAGCAAATGCAGGAAGCTGGAACAAAGAGAGAATATATATATATTGACTTCTCAAAATAACTTAAAGTTCATCATTTGCTAATCATTTTACAACACATTTAGCTTTACTCTAAAGGTTATAATGGACTTTAGTATGGGCCTTACTATGTTTTGAGCATAGAGATGCCATTCTTATGCATTTTTTATAGGTAAAACATTGAAACTAACTACAGCAGTCCATAACGGTCATCATCAAGTACATTAAGATGCACGCAGACAGTAAGGAGCCATTGGCGTACAATTATTGATTCATAATGAAATGGAAGTTTTATTCCGACCGTGCACAGGAATAACTTAGGTCATAAATAAGCAATACTTTTGCAAAAAATATAGCCAACTTGTGTACTGAATGGAAGATAAAAACTGTAATTGGAATAACAAGATACCTGGACAAGGGGGTGTTTGGATTTAGGCCCCCTTTTGCGATATCCCATCATTTGCTCCTGCCTTTCTCTGAAAACGATGCATAAAATATCTATAAATTCACTATTTTCAACACAACACATTGGATATTGTCAAAACTGTTGGGTTTGAGAACTAAAACTGCAATGTTAAAATGCTCATTAATCCATTCATGTGTAGCAGAGCCAATATTCTCATACGCTCTTAGAATTAAAGGTTCTTTATTAGCATGCACTGTTCCATGAAGAACCTTTAACATCCACATAACTTTTACATTGCACAAAAGCTTCTTTATAGTGGAAAAAGGTTCTTTAGTTTATTCAAATGTTTTTTACATTAAGAAAAATGGTTATTTAAGAATTTTCAACAAAAGGTTCTTTGGGAACCCAGAATGGTTCTTCTATGGCATTTTGGAACCGTTATTTTTAAGAGTGCACTTATCAACATTAGTGCAACATTCAGATCACAAGCCACAGTGGATCCCTTTGATCACCAGGTTACAACACAAAACAAGAGCACAATGGGTAACATGACACTCTCAAACTTCTAGTGCAGCTAAACCAGTGAGCGCAACTCAGGAAACATCTTGCGAAAACTGCTATAATCTAAACTTAATTTTTTTCTAGAGATTCTGGAATGCTTTGATACTCATTCAACTTTTATCTTCAGAACAGAACAGTGGGCTCAGAGAGGGGTGTGTGAACATCACAAGACCATTGACAAAGCAGATTAGATCATAGACTTGAGTGTAGAGGGGTATGTCCAGTTGTGAGAGCACTGCTACTGATGTAATTTTCATCTATGAATGTATGAAATTATTTGATCTAAGCTGTTCCAGAGCATGGTTATTTTCAGTGCTGCCCAAAACAGTGGTTCTCAAACTTTTTGACTTAAGACAATATTAAGTTTTTTTTTTCTTCTGAATTGAGGAATGGCAGTGTATTAAAATTTATATTTGCAATTAGTTATATATATTATATATATATATTATTTTAGTCATCTAACAGCCCCTTTGGAACTGTAATGGGGCCCCTAGAGAGTTATGGCCCCTTGCCCTGCCCTAGAAATGATAGGAAGAAAATTAAATCTTGTTTTGGTCAATATACAATGGCACATTCATTTTGTAGGACTAGCACTGGGTAATAACAATGGGGTGTTTCCAAAACTGAATAAAAGGCAAGCATCAAGAGAGTCTTTGTGGCAGTCAGATCTGACCCGTGGGGCTGCCATTAATCTTCAGATACACTGTGCAGGACTTGGCCCCGCCTCCCGTGACCATATTTGGTCATTACCACAAGTTCAGTTATTTGTCCTCCATCTCACCTGTTTTGGAAAGCCACAAGAAGGCGCGGGTCAAGAATGTTTTCCTCGGGTTCCCATGTGTTATATCTGTAATATTGACGAGAGAATATAAAAATGTAATAACCCATATGGTAAATGCCAACGTGTGTTGCGATAAAATATAGAATTTTTACAGATTACCGCGCAATCAAAACACATTTATAGCCTACAGATAATGTAAACAAATAAATATATGAGCATATTTCATTACATACAGTACAAATACAAATTCACTCGCGTAAAATTTGTGCTAGAATCCGTAAAAAACAAGCCCAGCGCGACCGATGTAGGATACCGGACATCGCTCCGCATTTACGGTTAATACGTCTAAAAATAAGGCATATAAACCAATTAAACTTACTTGGCTGACCATCCTCGCCACTTCACCAGATACTCGATTCTTCCCTGAAAAACGACGAAAATGCATTGGGTACAGAAACAACAAATACATCCTCCGTACCATTTACGGTAACGTTAGTTCTAGTTTGACCAGTTTTACCTTCCGTAGGCGCTTCTTTTCGATGCCCTCCACCGCGAAGACGTGCTCCCCGACGGCAGGTAGATCCATGCCGTCTCCGCCGCCCGTTTGAAGAGAACGAGCTCAATAAGATCTTCTTCGCTGCAACGCTGTACTGTCTCGCGTTGTGCCACCGCTGTGGCCCGATATTAATTTGTCCCTCACCCCCCCTCTTTCCCTCTCTCCCTCGTATTTGTCTCCACGTTAAGCGGCGGGCACTGGAAAAGCTCACTGGTGCTGCTACTACAGAAAATAGTTCATGCAATAGTGAGCCAAGGCAGGCGCGTGACGTCGGCGCGCGAGGAGGGGGAGGCTGAGAACTGCCAAATGCAGAATATAAAGCTGTAGTTTGTGTGTGTGTGTGTGTGTGTGTGTGTGTGTACACGGTGTCTGCTTGCGGTAATTAAGAACAAGTTGGAAATAAATGTGCATGAATACAGCTTGCTATGGCATAAAATCTCACTTAACATGTTATAGCATACCATATCTATCTATCTATCTATCTATCTATCTATCTAGTTGTAATGCATTTTATACCCAAAAAGTTGTTTTTATGATCTATTATGTGTTAGAAACAGGTTGTGATTATCTCTGCATCTGCAATGCACTATAGCCTACTTAAAGCAATTCTATTCTATTTTCAAAAAAAAAAGGGACTTCTAAATACTCTTTTTTTCCCCCCACGCAAAACGCTCACAGGAAACCATATAGAGACTAAACCCCTATATTTACAGCTCTAAACATGTCATATAAACGAGTTGTTCTATTAAAGGCACCTTTAACGCCAGGTAAATTAACCACTCGATTACCGCCAGCATAGCGTACATTAATAGCTTAAAGCTTTAACATCGCTGGCAGGAACCACGTAGAGAGACATAACACCTGTGTACATCTCTAAATCTGTCATGTAATAGAGTTGTTCTATTAAAGGCTCCTCAGTTTAACGACAGAAGGTAAATTAACCAATCGTTTACCGCCAGCACAGCGTGCATTAACACCTAAATGTATTCAGTTTTATAGCCTAAAACTGTATGTGAAGCAGAAAGATGAGGCAAACTTTCGCACAGCTGTGAGTTTTAAATCGCATTCCCTAAAACGCAGTATGTGCAGTACATCAAATATCACACCGTTATCTTTATGATTATTACCAGCGAATAAAATTCAGCAGCTAAAGGGTTAAAATGAGGTTGACGCTTCAACAGCCAATCTAATCTCCATATATGGCCATGAAAAATAAAGCGCAAATATATCTGGTTCTTGCGGTTTCATTGCATTCATTACATGCACACTGAAATGTTCACACAAAAACACAATATGTCACACATTATATGGACGAAAAGTGTGTTTTGGTGAAGAGAAATTGATCGTCGCGCTGCATTTCTCCTCAGAGGAACACACCCTGCTGCAGTAGAAACAGACAGTAGAAAATGGTTGAATATATTAACGACGGAGATTGGTAGGTCTACACCTGCTGTCATATGAATATCGATGACATGTAGTTGAAGTTTAAATTTTAATAGTATGAGGTTAAAATTTAACCCTATAAAATCACCTCACCTCATGTCTTTAGTCCAGCACAAGATGAAGGCTATTAGAACCTAAATCAGTAACTTCCATTGCAATGCCACATTCAATATTCATCTCATTTAATCAACAGCATGCAGTAGTTAACATGACTATTAACATTTTCAGTAGCCTACTGCAGCAGAATCCGAAACACTTTAGGAGCTGCACGCTTTTATCTAACAATTCAGTGCTGCTCAAACTCTACTTTTTTGGCCAGATTCAGTCTGAAAACATTATTTCAGATAGGCCTATTGCTGTTAAATTTCATGCAAGATGGACCAGAATTTTTTGTGTTATCAGTGAGAGTTGTAATGGTTCCCACATCTGAATATGCGTACTTCATGTTATAGCCTAGTATTTGCAGTTAAATATAGTATTTAAAAATCAATACTGTCAAATTTGTATATCTGGATATGAAGTATTTATGAAACAGTACACCAACAATATCCAGATGACATACTGCTTCCATTGAGATTCTTAGTTAAATAGACACTTTACTATACAGCCACAGGCGCTCATGAACTTCCACATTTGAAAAGCTGGAAAAAAAAAATAAATAAATTGCAGAGATTTGAAACTCAAAAACAAGGGTTCTCTATTGGAAGCTACTGTTCCATGAAGAACCTTTAACATTCATAGAACCTTTCCAATGGACAAAAGGTTCTTTATAAAGGTTTTTTAGATTATTAAATGTTCTTTACACCAAGAAAACAAACATTTCTTTTAAGAACTGTGCACTGAAAACATCTTTTGGAAACCAGTGCGAAAAACACCCTTTGTCAAAGGTGCGTGCGGGGAGATGAAGCGAGGACTCAATTGCAGGAGAAATGGTTATTTATTTTAATAATAAAAATGAAACCAAAACAAACTCAAACCACCCCGAAGGGTTGTAACCTTTATTTTTAAGATTGCAGGTGGATCTTTTCAAGTTATAGGGACCAAGAAAGTTGTTCCTCATGGTTAAATTGCACTTGTTTAACAAAAGTAAATAATTTTCATACGTCACACGTCAAAGAACCCAAAGACAAAGGGACAATACCAACATGGTAGATGCAGTATTCCTGGCAATATATTTATACTACACAATGAGAAGTAAATTCTTAAACAAATTCAGTACATACTCCAAGTGCAAAGGAATTCCGGACACAGCTCATGATAATGACAATGACCTTAACCATTTCAAGTGTGCACTGGTTGGCAGCAAAAGACAGTTGACTGGATGGAAACCTCTCTAGGAGATCTTAAACTGTGATTGTTGCAGAGCTTTTCCTTGTATGGAAACTCATTCACAGAACACCCAAAATAGGGGTTCCACATATTGAGTGCCAGGCAGCTAAGCACTAAAGAAAGAAAGGGATTGAAAAAGAGAGAGAGAGAGAGCAGTGTGTGCCAGACTATAAGTGTAGCCTCCATTGCCCAACCAAGCGTCACATTAATCCCACTATAAAGGGTCATGGAAGAGGATTGGTCGAGGGCTGGAAGGGTATTGAAAATGTTAAGAGGGGCCTATACAGGCAGTCTATCTCAGCTCAGTGGGAGCTCATTAAGTCCAAGTATCCTTGTGAGCTGATATCAAAACAGCATGCAATATGACAGAAAATACATTTCTGAAGAAGTTATACGAGCTTTCTTTACAAGAGCTCTCAAAAATGGTGCTATATTCAATGATTATCAAGATTTTCCACATAACAGGCCTGTGATTACAGCAGAACGTCATTTCCAATTTATTCTTCATAGCTGCAAAGCCTTTCGCATGCAGTCAGAATGCATCCATGTCATTTTCACCCAGCGCTGCGAGCTTCAACTTCCATTATTTTTCAATTATTACACGATTGGTCAGATAAAATAGAGTGTCTCGGTTAATTTTCTGTCTTTTATCAATTATTGAGACGCTCTCTCTGTCTATGTCACTGTCATGCACGTCGCTGGTAGGAGTGTCTGCTCATCAGAAAGCACCACGGCACGCCACTCCTCGACCCCCAGAGCACATGAAGGGGGTTGGGATTGTCGGCTGAGGGGGAGGGGGTCCAAAACAGACAGAGGAGTTCCCCGGGGTGCAGAGGGATCCGGCAGGACTGCGGTGGCTGACCTGTCAATACTATATCACGCAACGAACCAAACTCTCTCCTCCATCCATCTACACTGACTGCCTTTGGTCTAAAATACTGTATACTGTCAGTAAAGATATATAAAGAAGTGGGACAGCTGAATATGTGCTGGTATGGTGGGCATCAAAGCCGCTGAGTGGCATTTTGATTTTGTGTAAAGTCATGTATGGGAAAATAATGCTGGCAATTTATAGAAAAATCCCATTTGAGCTATATTAATATTTCAAGTTTCTTAAAATTAAGCAAATGGTTAAAACAGACACTGATAGTTCACCCAAAATAGACATTCAGTCATCATTTACTCACTCTCTTGTACTTTCTTCTGTTGAACACAAAAGAAGGTATTTATAAGAAACAGTTTCGGTTTCCATTACATGGAATGGAATGGAAGTCAACAGGAACCAAGACTGTTTGGTTACCATTATTATTTAAAATATCTTCTTTTGTTTCACAGAAGAAAGTCATACAGGTTTGAAATGACATGATTTTAAACACAATTTTAAGTTTGGTTTGGAATATCCCTCTGAAGCGATGGTTTCCTCAAAAATAACCCAAATGTTCTTCAAAATATCTTCTCTTGTGTTTCACAGAAGAAAGAAATGCGGGTTTGCGATGACATAACGGTAAATAAATAATGACAGAATTTTTATTTTTGGCTGAACTACACTCTTAAAAATAAAGGTTACAAAAGGGGGTTTTCAGGGCGATGCAAAAGAAGAACCATCCAAACAAACATTGAATGAACTGTGCTTAAAAAGATTTTTTTTTCTCTCAGTATGAAGGACATTTTAATAATTAGAAGAACCTTGTTTTCCACTATAAAGAACTTTTGCGCAATGTTTCCATGGATGTTAAATGTTCTTCATGGATCCATCGTGCCAATAAAACCTTTATTTAAGTTCCCTTAGATCTTTGTCCTGAAAATAACGAAATCCATGGTAACGTCTAAATAAACTGGTCTGATCTAAGTCAAAAATAACTGTATCAACCTGAACACACTAGGTTACAGTAACAAAACCATTTTTAATCCTTTCGAAATAGCTAACATTTTCAGGTTACCAGTTTGTAATATAACCCCCCTCAAACACTCCTCAGGTTTGTCAAGATCTCTCAATATGATCTCAAACATCTGCCATCAAAATCTCACTAGACCAATCCATTCATTTCACAGTTCTTCACCCTTATACGGCATGTCAATTATCGTCTCAATTGCACACTGAATTCTCCTTAGGAATTTCTGGAGAAAGCTCAAAGGCAAAGTTGACACATAAATAAAACATAACTGAGATCTCCATTAAGTCTCCTGCAACCTCTGAGCAATAAAATGTTCCCCTGGGCAGTGTCATGCAAATCTAGACTGGCATATGTGTCCAAGTGTGGAGTTGGCTTTGCCCTTCTCTTCCGCCTCTCTCGGGAAAGACAATCTGACTGTTTTCCTTGCATTTTAATTTGGATTTCCCTGGCAGCGGAGCTCAAGGTATCCTCCATCCATCTCAGCCTTGGTCTCAGGGTCACTGCAGCTATTTCACACAGCAACCTTGAGGTCTTGGTGCCCGATAACCATTGAGCTGATGTTACAGCATAGCGCATTCACTTGGGCAGATGAAACCAATCACATACA